ACGTTTGTCTTATTGGTTGATAAATAAAGTACTGTTGGCCAATAGGAAGCTAGTTGGGGGGGACTAGGAGTCAAGGAGGATTCTGGGAAATGTAGTAAAGAAGTGGAGTCACCATGTGAGCCCAGGAAGACAGGACACTTGCTGCTGGTGTCCGATAAGATAAGTCTTATGAAATATATATATTTATGATAATTAAGACTGAGCTGGCCTCAGAATGGCCAAGATCAATAATTACTTAAAAAAAAAAAAGACTCAGCTGGCAGATGAGAAATCCTAGTCATTGGCCAAACAGCATTTGTACCTAATATAAGTCTCTGAGTGTTACTTGGGACCTTAAAGTAGCAGTGGGCAGAACTTGGCGGCTTGGCATGGGTGGCAGAAAGATTTATCGTAACACTTGACATTCCAACTTCAGGGCTTACGGTATAGCTTAGTGGCAGAGAGCTTGTCCAATATATACAAGGCCATGGTCCAAGTCCCAGCACTTAATAAATATATTGAGATCACAAGGAGAGACCTTCATACCCAAAGTTTGTTTGTTTGGTTTCCTCTTACTGGGATTCCTTAAAACTGCTGATGACTGTCCAGTGGGTAAAAGAGCTTGCCCTGCAAGATTGATGACCTGAATTCAGTCCCCAGAACCCACAGCAGAAGGAAAAAGCTGACTTCCAAAGACTGTTCTCTGAGCCCCACACCCACACTGGACACAAACACACATCATATACACAATAATATTAAAAAGCTATGAAGATCATCAGAAGGAATATTTGACATGACCACAGCCATGATGAACCTAAAGACTTCACAACTGAATAATGTCTCTGTGCTGGCTAGTTTTACGCCAACTTGACACAAGCTATAGTCATCAGAGAGGAGGAAACCTCAGTTGAGAAAATGCCTCTATAACACTGAGGTGTAGGCAAGCCTGAAAGGCATATTATTAATTAGTGGGCCCATTGTGGGTTGGACCACCCTTGGCTGGTGGTGCTGGGTTCTATAAGAAACCAGGTTGAGCAAGCCAGTAAGCAGCACTCCTCCATGGCCTCTGCATCAGCTTCAGATTCCTAGTTCCCGCCCTGTTCTTGTTCTTGTCCTGATCTCCTTCTATGATGAACAGTGATGTGGAAGAATAAGCCAAATAAACCTTTCCCTCCCTAAGTTGCTTTGATCATGGTATTTTGTCACAACAGTAGTAACCCTAACAAGTGTCTTTGATGGGATTTTGGGTTTTCAGGCAAATAATTTTCTTGAATAAATTTTTTTTGTTTTCTTTTTAGATGCATGTGGGAGGGTGGGATGCTCAATCACAGGTCAAAGGTCAGTGCTCAGGTGTCTTCTTCAGTCTCTGTCCATCTTATTTTTCTGAAAGGCTTTCTCACTGAAGTTGGAGCTCACTGATTGGCCAGACTGGGAGCCACAGGGATCCTTCCAGTTGCTGAGGTGACAAATGTGCACTGAGCTTCTCAGTGGTTACTGGGGACCCAAATTCAGGTCCTCATATTTGTTTTTGCCTAGCCATCTCCCGAATCCTCTGAACAAGTTCATGTTTCACGAAGGTATCCTTATGAGTGTACAACCTGTCAGGAGCCTGCTGCCCCTGAGCTTGCTGCCAGGTTCGCTGGTTTCTGCTTCCTGCCACCACCACCACCACCACCACCAACACCACAACACCACACCACCCCATCACCACCCAGTCATTTTTTAATGGAAGCATCATAGGTCACTCACTTCCTTTTCCCCCAATATAAATATTTAATGAAAATATATTTAATGCTTTAATTTTCCCTGAGAACATTGCATTAATGGTATTCCACAAATTTTAATAGTTGTGGTTTTATCTTTATTCAGTTAAAAATATATTTTTCTTATTTTCCTTGACCCAGGTTTTTAAAAGTGTTGTTTTTTATTAGCTTCCAGTTATTTGTAAGGGAGTTTTTAAATACTTTTCTGTTATCTAATTTAATCTTTTCTGTTTTTGCATGAATGTATTCATTCTAGATTTATAAGCATTTGCTTTATGTGTCAGAGTATAATATAATTTAGTAAATGTACAGTGCTGCCTTGGTGAGAATGTGTTATTACTGGGTATGAGGTTGATTAATATTGTCAATTTTTCCTGGGTTTGTTTGTTCTTGTTGTTTTTCTAGACAGGTTTCTCTTTGTATCCCTGCCTGTCCAGTAACTCAATTTGAAGATCAGGCCAGCCTAGAACTCAGAGATCTGCATGTCTCTGCCTCCCAAATGTTGAGATTAAAGGCGAGTACCAGGCCAGGCTGTGGGGCCACATGCATGCCTTTAATGCCAACACTCAGGAGGCAGAAGCAGATGGATCTCTGTGAGTTCAAGGCCAGCCTAGTCTACAGAGCTAATTCCAGGACAGCTAGGGCTGATACACAGAGAAAACCCTATCTTGAAAGCAAAACAAAACAAAACAAAAACAAAAAAGCCACCATCTGGGCTGGTTTTGTTTTTTGTTTTTAAAAATGGAGCCCTTCATGAATTTTTGTGTCATCCTTGCATATAGGTCATGCTAATCTTCTCAGTATTGTTCCAATTTTAATATATGTGCTGCCAAATCAAGCACAACTTTACTGGCTAAAAAAACGATTCTGTCAATTATCGATAGCAGAGCTAAAATCAATAATACATATTTCTCATTTAAATTTTGTTGTTTTGCTAGGTGTGGGGGGCTCATTCCTTTAATCTCAGCAATTGGGAGGCAGAGGAATGTCCATCTTTGGGTTCAAGGCCAGTCTGGTCTATATAGTTTCAGGTCATCCTAGGATACCCGGTACCCAATAAGATCCTGCCTACAATAATAACAACAATAAAAAGGCCTGTCCTCAACAGTTAAGAGGACTGCTGGCTCTTGCCAGTGTTACTGGGTTTGTTTCTTAGCACCCACATGGCAGATCACAACCATCTGTCATTCTACTTCCAGGGGATCTAAAACCCTCTTTTGATCTTTGTGGGCATCAGGTACACACATGGTGCACAGGCACAAATGCAGGCAAGTACTCACACACATAAAAATGAATGAATACATCTAAAAACTAAAGCATAGGCTAAAACTTTGGACTTAAGACTTGAATGACACATAGATATAAATCTGATTGTATGTCTCTTTGGGCTGGGAGTTCCCATGAAATAATAGGGTGGAGATAAAGAATAGGCAGTTGATCAGATACATTTGGTGTTCAAAGAAAGATGAGGACAAAGATATAAAACTGAGATATCAGCACATGTGTGAAGTTGCATACATAATTCCTTAGGAAAAGACTGTACAGGCAGAACATCTGGACTAGATAATTGGCACTTGCCATCCCCATTGCAGATAACTAAGGAGATTTAAAAATCATGAAACATCTTGTAATTTTGGAGGAATTAGAAGCAAGACATGAGCTAGAATTGGGGCCCACAGTGAGCCATTTGGAAGCAGGTTTTTCCTGTATTCTGTGCAGACCCTGTAGACATAAGTGAGTCACTAACTGCTTATAGAAGCCTTCCTGGGCTGCAGGAATGAAGGCTAGAATACAAGTAGCCCTCCAAGGATGGTGACCCACACCAGATTTTGCATAGGGGCATGAAGAACTGTATTCTGAGAGGGAGGGTGTGGACCCCAGTCCTTCAGGCCAGGCAGTGATGGAAGAAACCATGAACCTCTGTCCTCCACTGCTTGCTTCTTTGAGCACTTGGCAGATAATAACCAGAATCCTTTGAGGAGGAAGTTAGTATCATTTCAAGCTCTGTATCCTGAACTCAAGAAAAGAGACACACAGAGAGGAGTCAGAATCATCCAGAAAAACAAGTGACGAGAGACTCCAGAAACTGGAATTACAGACACAGACTTGGAAAAACAATGATGATTACTGTGTTTAGGGAACAGGAAAAAAAACTGAAAAATTTAGCAGGAAGCCATGAACTGTACTTTTAAAACAATGACACAGCATATTTGCCACACAAAAATTCTAGAAATCAACAATTGGTGATGGTGTATGCCTTTATTCCTGGCACTCAGCAGGCAGAGGCAGGTGGATCTCTGAGTTTAAGGCCAGCCTGGTCGACAGAATGAGTTCCAGGACAGCCAGGGATACACAACCCTGTCTCAAAACAAAACAAAAAAGTTATTACCATTTTTAATGGCATTAGTAGATTAATCCCCTACCAAAGAGAATGGGATGAAATTCCAAAATGAAGCAATAAGTAATTTAAAAAATGAAAATAGTTGGGAAGATGGCTTAGTGATTAAGAGCACTGGCTGCTCTTTCAGAGGACCCGGATTCAATTCCCAGCACCCACATGGCAGTTCACTACTGTTTATAACTCCAGCTCCTGGAAATTGGATACCCTCACATGGACATAAATACAGGCAAAACACCAATGCACATAAAATAAAAATAAAAAACAAAAGTAATTCGGGGCTGTAGAGATGGCTCAGTGGTTAGGAGCACTGACTGCTCTTCCAGAAGACCCCAGTCCAATTCACAGCACCCACATGGCAACTCACAACTGTCTGTAACACCCTCACACAGATAGACATGTAGGCAAAACACCAATGAAAATAAATGTAAAAATAAATAAGTACTAAAATAAAAATAATTAATGTATATTGATATATTATTTATGACAATTAATTAATTCTATTAACATATTGGTTATTATAAGCAAAAATTTATAGTATAATCATTATACATAATTTATTGTATTAATGTTAGTATTTTAATAAAGTATGTATGTATGTATGTATGTATGTATGTATACACACACAACAGAGCCATAAAGAAGAATAACACAATAAGGCACAGCAAGTTTCATTGAGGTTCTAGGTGAAGAAGAATGATTGGTCTTAGAGAGATGATTTCTAGTAGCCCATTGACTCAAGAGACTCTACAGAGTCAAGGAAAGATTGATAAGAATAAATACTCAAGTTCTATTAAAATAGAACTTCAGTGAACCAAGACAGGCTCAACATAGCCATTAAAAAAATTAGCTCATTACCACTGAACTCACCACTGATCTCAAGGACAGAAGACAACAGGCTTCAAGTAAAATAAAAGATCTATATTGCCAACAGATAACTGCTTAAAGGATGCCCTGTAAGTGTTCATCATGCAGAAAAAAAAAGAAATAATCTTGCATGAAAAAAAATCAGGTGAGTCAGTGAGGTGGTTCAGAGAGCATGCAAGCCTGGTGACCTAAGTTTAATCCCCAGAACCCACATAAAGGTGGAAGGAAAGAAGTGACCACCCACAAAGGTGGCCCTTGGCCCACAAGCCCAATGTGGCACATGCACTAGCCTCCCATCATACACACACACACAATAGACAATTTTATTTGTTGGTTATGGTGGTGCACTTGGGAGGCAGAGGCAGGTGGATTTCTGTGAGTTTGAGGCCAGCAAGTTCCAGGACAGCCAGGCCACACAAAGAAACCCTGTCTTTAAAAACAAAACAAACAAAACAACAAAAAGGTTTTTATTTCTTCATTTATTCCTTTATTTACTTATTTAGGCAGGGTCTCATTATTCAGTCCTAAATGACCCGGAACTCACTATGTAGACTACCTTGGCCTCAAATTTGTGGTGATCTGCCTGCCTCTGTCACCCTATTGTTGATACTAAATGCAGACACCACCATACCTGACTATGAACTTTTTTAAAAATAAAAATAGAAACAAAACAGAGGACTGAAGAGATGGCTCAGTGGTTAAGAGCACAGGCTGCTCTTCCAGAGGTCCTGAGTTCAATTCCCAGCAAGCACATGGTAGTAGCTCACAACCCTCTATAATGAGTTCTGATGCCCTCTTCTGGCCTGCAGGCATACATGCAAGCAGAACAGTATATACAAATAAATAAATAATTAAATAAAATAAATAAATCTTAAAAAAAAAAAAGAAACAAACCAAAAGAAAAATCAGAGGTATAGGAAGCAATGGAGTTCAAAGAAATAATCATTACAGCTGGGACTGGTGTCCTGTAATCTCAGCCACTCAGGAAGCTGTGGCAGGAGGATGGTAAATACAAAGCTTGCCTAGGTTACAGAGCAAGGTTGAAACCAGCCTGGCCAATTTAAAGAGTCTTTATCTCAAGAAGCAGGGGGTTTGAAGAGGGATAATAAGTAAGAATAGATCTAAATCATAGGTTATTAATTACAAAATCATATTGATTATGAAAACAGGGTTGTGCAAAACAGTATACTCTGAGAGCTAGAAGTTACAGAATTACAGGAGATGGTAAGACTTGAGCATGTTAGGGTATACATGTTGTAAATACTGCTAAGCCATTTATAGATCTTTGCCCAGGACACTAAAGGTAACAAATCAGGGTTACTATTTTTATTTTTATTTTTGCTTATTTTATTTTATGTGTAGGAGTTTTTACCTGTGTGTATGTACATATACCACAAGCAGACAGTGTCCAAAGATGCCAAGAAGAGGGCCTCAGATGTGGGTGCTGGGAATTGAACCTGTGTCTTAAGTGCTGAATCATCTGTCCAGCCCCACATTACCAGGTTTTGATACCCACCCCCATGCCAGAAAAGGTTTCTCTGTGTAGTCCTGGCTGTCCTGAAACTTTCTTTGTAGACCAGGCTGACCTCAAACTCAATAGATTCACTTGCCTCTGCCTCTTGAGTGCTGGGATTAAAGGACTGCACCACCAACCACCCAGAAGGTTTTGTTTTTTCTTTAAAAAAGATTATGATAATTTTGAAGGTACTCACTAAAAAAATGAAAGCAACTTCCCTTGCCCCCCTGAAAAAAACAGTGTGCCCACGATATATACCACCTCACCTCCCCACTTGGATGACCATTATCAAGAAGACAAGCTGTGGCCCAGCTATCTAGAAGACTGACACAGGACCACATGAGCCCACACGCTCAAGGCCAGATTGGAAAACATAGATTCTGTCTCTAAAAACAAACAAAAACATTAGGCAAGTGGTGGCACAGGTCTTTAATCCCTGGGGAGGCAGAGGCAGGGGGATCTCTGTGAGTTTGAGGTCAGCCTGTTCTACAGAGTGAATTCCAGGACAAGATCTAAAAGCTACACAGATAAACCCTATCTCAAACACACACACACACACACACACACACACACACACACACACACACACACACACACACACACAACTCAAGAGAGAGATTGGTTGGGAAGATACTACAGCACTCTTTATTGTTTGTTGGGAATGTAATTGTGTAACTGTTGTGAAACACAACTTGACACCTCCTCACAAAGCTAAAACTCCTAACAGAGTGACCATTTGACCCAGCAAACCCCACTCCTAGATATATACCCTAGAGGACCAAGAGCAAGGACTCAAACAGACACCTGCTCGTAAATATTTACAGCAACAACATTTGCAGTAGACAAAAGGTCTCTCAGCTGGTAACCGAGTAAGTCATTTAAAAAAAACTGAACTATTTTGTGGTTCTGGGAATTTAAATATTTTTCTCATAATTTCTTCTTCCCTATTTTTTCTTTAAGAAACCCCTATTAGATATTTTGCCTCTAGGCTGCAGCTTTACCTTTTCTTTTATGTTGATTTTTTTCCTCTTAACCTCTTGAAAGATTTTTTTTTTTTATCT